GTGGATTTGGGGTTGGTTTGTTTGTTGTTTTTCTTTTTCACCTGCACCACCTGCCTCCTCTTCTGCATGCAAAATGGCAGGATCGGTAAGGCACTGAGACACATCTGCTAGCTAGCATACTACCTAGCAGACACATCCCTTAAGATTCATAGCTGTTAGCATGTATCCTGTCATTAACAGCAGGTGCTGACTGTAGAATTTTCACTTTGTCTGTACTTGCTTGAGAACCAATGCATATATTGCTGCTGCTTCTTCACAGTATTATGTTCCATCAAGCATGGCTCTGATACAGGGAGTATATGAACTGTAAATCTCTTTCCTTATATTTGTGAATAAAAGGTAAACAACAGGAAATTTCCCAGATTCTTTGAATCCTTGTTTTAACTTTTTATTATTTATTGCTGGTAGGAACAGGATAGAATCTTATTTTGTCTTTTTATTACTTTATAACTCTAGTTTTCTTCTATTCACCCACTTCAGCCTCCATTTTCTGGCATTTCCTGGTTTGCTTTTGTAAGGTGGCTCACAACTACATGGTTAGATAGTTGAAGCTGGCATTGTATGCAGTTGTTCTGGAAGATATTAAGAGAACATTTCATTAGTAAGAAATATGATCTTGCAAACCTAACTGAAGTACAATGACCTCATAGAGTAGATGGTGGATATTTTGTACTTTTGCCTTTGTTGTTTTAGTTATTTATACATTGCCCTGGGAGGGTCCAGGTAAAGAAGCAGAAGGAATGGAGACAGGGCAATGTGTTTAAGCCCAGAGAAAAGTCAGTGTACAGTTCCACCCAGAACGTGGTACTAGCTTCTGCTGATTGATTTTAGAGATCCTCACTGCTGCCTTCCTCCTGGGTATCAGGTTATAGTGGGTAAAAAGTCTATAAATAGAAATTTGCTGTTGATTGCTATAAATATCTCTCTATATATATAACATTTTATTTTTCTTGACAAATCACGAAGTTCTGAAGACCATTTTTTGGATAAACTAATATGAATTGTATAATTAACATCATGCAGCTGCTTTAGTTCACTGTGATATGTCCAAAGGTAATATTAATAAAAACATCTTAATGAAGTAAGTGCTACCAAAAAAAAAAAAAAAAAAAGAGTGGATAACAGATTTTTAGAGCAAGAATCTATATTGTTATAGTAAACAGTATTTACTTAATTTGTATTTATAGTAACCTAAGAGATATTAATTGCTCCGCTGTTTATATCAGTTGCAGTGCATAATTTCTTACCACTTATGGCTTTGCCTACATGGAATGCTCTCTGAATTTTGTTGTTTGCATATAGGGTATTAGTTAATGAGACATCAGTTTAAGTAAGCCATTTTGGCTCTTCTGTGGTCTAGACTTGCTCAAGTCTTACTTTTGTTAAACTGCAATAATTGCATAGATGCTGGTACATATCCTAGAGTCTGAAAATTAATGCTGGGATTGCCAAACAAGGATTAAGTAGTTCCTACATCTGAAATTTAATTTGCAGATGGTGTATCCTTAGAAATGTAGGTTTGTATTCCTAATAAATTCAGACAAGTAAATTCTGTTTGTCTATGAAAGAAATACAATTGATTTCCATTTTCATGGTTAAAGGAAGTTTGTTTTTTATATTTAAACTTCGTACATTTTCATTCAAAGTAGGTTGAAACCTTAGGCTATTGACATCTGACTAATGAAGATATTAGTGTTTGAAAATCAGTGGATCTTTGAAGATATAGCTTTATGGTCACAAGAAATAATTTGTATTCTCCTTAAGTAATTTGAAATATAAAAGCTAATAGAGCTTTTTTTTAAGCATCATATGAAAAAGCTGAGTACCGCATTAACAGAATTTACTGTATGGATATAGAACTTAAGTGAAATTCTAAAAATATTAATAATGAACAACTTAAATTTTCAAGCCTGCTGTACTGCTTAAAATATATTAACCTTAGGATAGTGAAAGTTTCAGACAGACATTTCTGAAGATCAATACACAACAGATTGTCATCAAATAATAAAATAAGAATTCTGGTGACCTGAAGTGTAAGGGGTTACAGGATTCCTGAAAGTTTTTTCTTTTCACTGTGTACTTCTTATTTTAATACTTAATGTTGAGAGGATTATAACAATAGACAGCTATTCCTTTTTTTATTGCCTGCTTTACCTCTTGAATTCCGTGATATTTTGTATTAATGATGTTGGATAGTTCAATATTGTATAAGGAAGAATTCGCCTTTGAAATGTCAGTGAGTTCTGTTTCGTGTTCCACAGAACGTTCATTACAGGGTAAGGGAGAGATTGCAGTTCCTGCCCTAGATTCCTTACTTGCATTACTCACTGTGGTTCTACTAACTGTAGCCCTCCTCTCTAATGTGAACAGCCTTTCCATTTTCCCGTTTCTTCAACAGCGCCAGGACATTAGTTCACTGCAGTTGCAGGAGAAACAGTGCCACCCGTTGGATTATCACTGTCATTCGTTACAGAGGTCCGGTCCTGGAAGGTGTGCTGATCCCCTTTACAGTTGTCAAGGCTTAATTCTGAGAGTATTTCCTCAATGCCTATAGCTCCCTGCAGTTTTATTATGTTGCTACATCCTTATTAAAATTACTAGGTGTTTGGGTTTTTTTGTTGTGGTTTTTTTTTGTTTTTTTGTGTTTTTTTTTTTTTTTGTGTTTGTTTTTTTTTTTTTTGTGTTTGTTTGGTTTTGGGTTTTAATTTTCTGTCCTTAATATGGATGCATAAATTTTGATTGCAGTTTGACTGCAACAGAGCAGTCAAAGCTCTTCTGGAGCATCTTGCTAGCAGTGGAGAGCAAAACATTTTTAGTTTTCTTTAAGTGGATTTTATCTGCAGCTTCTCTGACTCCTGCCTCAAAAAGGTTTTGTACACTTTTGTTGAATTCTGTGGCTGGATTTGTACATTTTTTTTTTTATAATTTAATAATACACAGTAACTATTCCATGTTTTTCTCCCTCTTTCCTTTAATCAGATTGGTGTTGACTTTTAACTTGATACTAAGTGCTTATTCAGTGTAGCTGCTAGCATATGACTTCACATTTCTCAATCTTAAACAAATAGTAAGTTATTATAAATTAAAAGATTCTTTCATTCCAGAAAGAGGGGAGTTATAATAGATGTGTAGCAATAGCAATATTGTGCCAAATGCACTGGAATAATAAACAGTAGGCAAGCTTCTCCCCATGGCCTGGTTAACAAAAAAGGCAATACTTCATATAAATGTATGCATTTTTCCTCCCTTAGATTCTAGTTGGGGTAAATTTAGGGTATCAGTCTGTCTATATTCATACCTCTAAGTCTGAAAATATGTATTATCTCCAATGACAATCTATCAAAGACTGTAATCTGAATCTAGACCTAAACTCAGTAACTCAGTAAGTCTACTTAGAATTAACACATTACACGTTCCCTTGTATTGCTTGCACTATGACTGTCAGGCTCCTTCCTAAAATGACAGCTTCAGAAAGAGGTCTGAAGCCTGTATTTAATGAAGAAATTTTTGTTTCAGTGTTTATTTGTTGCTTGAACAGCTGAGATTGTCAGCGAAAGTAGCAGTAGTGTGGTAGTATGCATTAGTTATAGTATTCATTCAGATTAATAAAGCTGCTCAGTCAGAACTGGATGACACCACTAGTTTATTTCACGCATGCAGTTGTTTAGATAATGGCTTAAATTTTAGCCACTTCTGACCTATGAAGTATTTTAACTGGCAGCTTGAGAAGCTGCATGTCCCCTTAGTACCCTGGTGTACCCAATTCTGAGCAATCAGTTCTCTGGGTTTATTTTAAGGGACATCACTTCTAAGCAGCTAGTTGAGACATGCCTACTTATAGACTATGGGACATTTTGTTTTGATTCTGTAGACCAGCAGATCAGATGAGTTACAGGAGACATAATTTTCCATCTGTTTCCTATCAGTGCAGCAGACAGGAATCTTTTCTGATTTCTTCCAGAAGAATTGCAGTCTAAGATATAAAAAATAGCTTATTGGTTTCATGTTTTCAGATTCTGGATTGCCCAGTGGATGGCATTCTTCAAGAGACAGAAACCTAGAGTAAGGATATTGGAAATCTAAGCTGCAATGGGTACACAAACTATCATGTACTTCATGATGCCTCAAGCCAAAATTTGAATGCAGAAATTTCAGTTGTGCTCCCCTGTGTAGATGCAGACCTACTTTGGGTAGAATCTGAAACTAAATATTCCCACAATATTGGAGAATCTTTGGGAGCCAGTAGAACAGACAATTGTATTGGCTTTATGTCCAGAAAAAAGAAATTAGAGACAGATGGAGATGTGATTAATCCAGCTTCTGATGCACTAGCCAGAAAAGCAAGTTCTACCTTGTTAATAAAGGCTGGATGCTAGACCAAACAAAATTATTGGTTCAAAAACTTCAACAGATTTAAAGGGGGGGAAACATTGGGACTGCAAGGTGCTTGAGGTATCTGTTTATTTTATCAGGACCTGCTGCATCAAGCTATTGTTTTAACCTGTTTGAAAGTTAACTATATTCTCAGTGGACAGGACTGAAGAGTAAATACATATTTTTACATAGTCTTACAATTACCCTGTGGATTTCACAACTGTGCATATAAATGGAAATTCAGTCTCATCTGTCATCACTCTTTGTTTACCTACCAATGAGCAGAAACTTACTTATGATAAAGCTGTAGTGTAGTGCAGTAGGATTGTCGCCATTTGAAATGAAAGAATATAGTTTAGCAGAGGTTAGAATCTGGGACCTAATTGTATACTGAGTTTCCCTGAGCTGGGATACAACTTTTGTCTCTTCTTCAGTGCAAGAAAGCATTCTATGATAATATATAGAATTTGAGATTCAAGAAGGTATCGTTTTTCTCAAGAAAATGACAGCTGAAATATAAAAATACTAGTTTATAATTTATTTTCCTTGTCTTTTTTTTTTTTTGCGTGTAAAAGAATAAATGTTTCGCTTCAACACTGTTAACTTATGACTCTTTTCTTTTGTAGGTTGTCTTAGTCTTCGCCCTTAGTATTGGTGCTCTTGTAATATACTTCATAGATTCGTCAAAGTGAGTATTCTAGTACATTTTCCTTTTGTGCAGCAATTAAACATCTTTAAATTGCTCCTTTCGTCTACTTCAAATCAGCACTTGATCTCATTGCCTGAGTGGGAAGAACTTTATACTAGTGCACGGTCTACAAAAATAACTCAAGAATGGGAAAAAGATCATATATAAAATAGATTGAACACAGTAACATTGGATCTGTGGAGTGAATAGAGGAAAACCTACTTTTGTGTGTTAATATTATGCATACTGTTACAAAATTATACTTTTCATGTTCATTTGGCATACATAGAATCTTTCAAATTCAAAACTGGGATAAGGCATACAGAGGAGTAGAGTATTTCCCAAAAATTTACAGTTTGCAGGAGGAAAAATAAGCATCTTGGGAGACTGACAGGAACACTTCTGAAAAACAGAATTAATTAGGCAGTATGAGCATTATATCTTGCATATCTGTTCAGATTTTCAACTCCCGGATTTGATAGATTTCTCCCAAGATAAGGTGATCCAGTAAAAATCTGCAAAGCATCTCAACATTTTTTAGATTTACACCAACATTGTAATATGGTGTTTTAGTTCTGGCCAGGCAATAGAAAGTTTCATCCTGATCTTTTGAGGTATGTGGTGGTTTGATGCAAACCAGTGTAACTAGCAATATCCTCTCTTTGATGTCATTCATACTCCACCCCTGTTTTCATATCAGGGTGGACTGTTTTCATATCAACTGTCAGTGGTGTAATAGACAAATTGGTAGCTTAACACAGAAGAGGACAGTAAAAAGGGACTTAATAGAATATTATTGTGTTGAATAATTATTTTGGGAGTATGATATTCTGAAGTATCAATAGCATTTTAGAGCTCTAGGACTACATATTTGCTGCTTTTCTCCAAACTAGTTTTAGGCTTGCAGCAGTTAAGATAGTATTCTGGAGTTACTCTATGTGAGCCAGCTTCACTGTCTGTAATGACAGTGGTTATGTTCTAACATAATCCTTATGTGCCTCAGAAAATCAGACATTTTACTGTTGAAATCTGTACGTACTGATATTTAGGTATGTGGTGGGCACCAGGAAAAGGAATTCTTGGATATGTGGATGTCAGCTCTGTATTGTGTGAGTCTCAACCATACCTTTGTAGCTTAGATGTGTCAAGCATAACACAAATAACTAAGGTAGAGATTTTCTTTATGGAGAGGAGCCAAGTAGTGGGGAAACTCAAGTTCTGTCTTGAGCTCCCTGAAGTGAGTACAATAGTTTTTCCTTAACATTGTGGTGAGTGTTCTCATTAATTTTAGCAAACTTTTCTTTAATGTGTCATCACTGAAGCACATAAGGTGGTGCTTTTCTGATGATCTTTTTAAAAACTGTTTAAAGCACAATGGCAAAGCTTGTGGGTTCCAAACATATCCAGGTCAAAAGTGTCAAATAGAATAAAACCTGTTTCCACTTATGTTTCAATTTCAGACTGACAAAATAGAGTTATTTGTCAGGGCAATTGTCTTTCATGAAACTAATGGGTTCTATAATGATTTTTAGGCACTGTGTTTTAGAAGCCTTTGCTTGATTGTTTTCCTCAAGGAGAGCAAAATGTGAGATTTCTCTGGGGTGCTTAAGCTTTCTGTGGGCCACCTAATCCATGTACTGCTACCAGCATATTGTCTACTCTGTCAATGGTGATCGAAAAGTGTTTTAACTGTAGGTTTCTCTGGGTTTTCAGCAAATGTTTAACTCCCAACTGCAGTTTAAATTCAGCAGCTTCAAGTTAATGTACTCGCACACTTTCACTTTGGTTTTTTCCTTCTTCTCTCTTACCCTACTTTCTTTCCACACATATGTCTGTCTTTACTCATTAGTAGTTTAATTCAGATTAGAAACTTCCCAGGTATATCTGTGAAGTGAAAAATTCTGCTTTATTCTGTATTAGCAGCTGACATGACACCCATTTCAGCAGTGTGGAATAAAATATAGTGATATATCAGTCTATTTAAGATCCCCAAGTGCATGATTAGTAAAAGTAATTCCTTTTAGATTTCAGTCAAACAGGAAATAAGGTAGGGTGAGAGGAATGCTTGTGATGTCCTCAACCAAACAACTGGAAGAACTGAGACTATGGCTTGTCCAGGAGCAGTGGAGACAAACAGGACCTAGTGCTCACACCAGACAGATAGTGACATATATCATTGTGTATTTTCCTTTGACAATGCATTATGTAACTGTTGTATTTTGCCTGTGCCATGGACACAGCTGTCATTTGATCTTATGCACATAGAGTGACGAAAGTCATGCCTTCAATAAAAAGGTGAAGAGTACTAGTGTAAGCATTTGTATAAAACAAAATGCCAGTGATCTGTGTATCCAAGACTCAATCTGTCAGTAGGTTTGAAAATGCAATGGCAGGTATGTCCACAAAGGAATCCTACATGACTTCATACATAAGGAGCATCAAGGAAGATGGGAATAACACCACCACTTTCTTAGTGAAGAAAGGGAAGAGTGGAGAGACCATTGACTTTTGTCAGGCAAGGATGTGTCATGATTAATTCCAGTGGAAGGCACTGAGGAAGTCAGTAAGGCTCATACTGAAGATAGTAGCCATTGCTCCCTCTGCTGTATGGGGAAGGTGACTGGATGCAAAATGAATGCTGTCAAAGCTGTGAGAGAAGGGTAAACTATGCTACTCAGTTCATCACTCTTAACAGACTAGTACCACATGAAATGGCATGTCCAGTGCAATGAAATTTGGGGATCTCTGAGGTCAGAAACTAGTACAGCTTCATCAACATAGTATCCTCCTTACCAGTTAGTCCTACATCTCAGCAGAACCAGTTAAGCAGCTTTGTGCTTCTGTAAAATAAGTCTGTACTAATTCTGGTTCTGGCACAATCTGCACCATACTTGTTACAAATCACGGGCAGAGTTGTGATGCAATACATCTGCTTTAATCTGAATTGACTTTTCTTGGTAAGAAGCAGTACTTAACTCACCTTTTAAGAAAAGATCTAGACAAAAATCACAAAAATAATAATTCTTGGTGGAAAGAATGAAGATTATTACTTTTGAAAACTATAGGGATTATTCCAATACCCTTCATTAAGATTATTCTGTTGTTTATTCAATGCATCTACTTTTTACAAGCCACCAGGTTGAATCATTGTCTCCTAGTACCACAAGACTTATATAGAACATTAACCTTTAAAGTGAATATGTACACTTTCAGTGATGCATGGTAGCAACTAATGAAAGATTTCAGTCCTTAAACTTGGAATTTATTTAGCAGAGAAATTACTAGCTTGTTTTCTCTGTCCATTAAATCCAGTTGTATACTGGTAGGAAATGTTTCATTTAGTAATAAGGACTAGACCCCTTCATTTATTTATAGAATCTCATTCATAAAATACTGTTTTCTTGGAGTATAGTATTTTTCAATAGTGTGAATAGCAGTTAAATGTGAAACATTTGCTGAAGAGATATTATAATATCACCTGTATAGTTATTTTAATCTTTAGGTAACAAATAACCAAATTATTACGTTTTTATTTTTAGAGATTCATTCACTTTAATGTCTGTCTTCCATTCTTAGTTTGAATAAAAGCTGAGCGTTCAAAGTAGTCATAAGAGTCGCCAAGAAGAGTTTCGATTAAGAAAGTGATCTTCTTTAGTACAGAATAGCATCATATATCCTAATGGTGGTCCTTTCCCAATTTATGTTTCTTTAAAATATGCCATAATATAATTTTCAAGGTAAGGAAATAATAGAATTATCCTTCATTCCTAAGAGGAAAATCTGATATGATATGCACTTTTTAGATGGTTTTCTAGACTCTGCTCAGTGTGCTGCAGTAGGATAGAGAGCTTGATGTCTGCCAATACTTTTTCATTTTTCATGCTTTTGTGTAAGTAGTTTTTACAAAATTCCTTCTTCCTGTGTCCACTTCTGTTTATTTTTCCACATGTAAAAGGTGTTTTAACAAATACATATAGAAGTACTTCTCTTATTTGCATCAGCATTCAAGAGGAATTGCTTATTTTCATTTCCATTTTTCATCCTGACCTCTGCATATCATACTGAATTAGTGACTTCAGCAGAGTAAAGAATAACGTTTCTTTGCCATGATCGTCTTTAGGCATGGTCAGGAAAGCCACTAGCAGACAACTCAATTTCCTGCTAAACTGGTAACTCAGGGCTCCAGTTTTCTATTTCTTGTAATGGCAGTAGCATGGAAAGCGTTCACAATGAGAATATCCTTTCCTACTCTGGTTCTGTTTTCTCTGGGGTGCGATGCAATGTAATATGGCACCATAGATAAAAGCTATTATTTTCAGGCGCTGTTTTTTTTTCTTTTTTTTTTGCCAAGAAGCTTGCTTTCTAATGACCAGTTATTGCTGTCCTGTCTCTTGAAGTTTACCTCATTTACTGTAGTCCCCTCATTAAAAAACTGATGTCACTGTAGAAATGATAGAGCCCATCAGTGGCAAGATGAAAACATAAAAACTCTTATAACCTGTTTTTTACGTTCTACTTGCATATGTTTTTTGGATTTTGTATTTTCAGAGGCATCAGTGTAATTATTCCTGAATAGCTGATTTTTTTCCAATATCGTGTCACATATTGTATTTGATTAGAATTGTGCATAAAAGTGCCATGTGGCAATAAGTGTAAAACAGCTGGATCTAAGAATAATAGTGTCACTGTGAATAGGAAGATTTATACAAATATACATATGGATGTATAGGTTCATGCTGAACCCTGAGCTTGTTCTCAAATGTTGAATTCTTAATCAGACAGCTTTATTTCTTTATGTATGTGAAAAATAAAAGAGTTAAACTTATAGGCAATTCTACTTTTTAAATGTTCTATATCTTTGCATATCTGAGAAGATTTCAGAAGTACTTGTACCTTTTGCATACTGATTGTATAAAATCCAGTTTTTCTAGATCTGATATACAGGGAATCCGAATACTGCCCAAATGTAAAACTACAAGTTTGTCTTAAGTATAACAATA